CAGCTTGTTTCCACTTCGAACTTTCCGGGGTGCACATGCGCCCGCTGCGTCCGCGCGCTCGGGCGATTATTCCATCGGTGACACAATCGCTCGGGGTCTCGAAGCAGATCGCTCGGGACCCCCATCGAGGTCGTGGAAAACAGCGCCCCCCAAAATGTACAGATCGGGCAGGGTCGAGGATGGAGGATCGACGATTGAGGGGGGTCGTTCTCCCCCCGAGCCCCTGCTTAATTATTTTCGTTATGCTCGAACTTGTTCTGCTCCAGCTCTCGTTCCTCATTCATCCTCCGCCCCCCTCGTCTTGCCCTTCCTCCCTTTTCTCCAGCTTCCCTTCTTCTACCTCCTGATCCTCCTGATATTCCTCCGTTTCCAATGTTGGGCTTCCTGCGGGCGTCTTCCTGTGCCGCGCCCCCATGGGTTGCCCCCGCCCATAGGCCGCCCCCCGGGCAGCTCCCATGGGAGGCCCCCGCAGGTTGCCACCACAGGCTGCCCTCGTCCATGAACAGCCCGCGTCGGGCGCGTCCATGCGCTGCCCCATCGACCGCCCTCATCGACAGGCTGTTTCCGATCGGCTGCCCTCACGGGGCGCCCCCGCAGGCTGCGCCCACAGGCTGCCCCCCACAGGCTGCCTCGCATGCTGCCCCCGCGGGCTGCCCCCATAGCCTGCTCTGGCAGGTTGCCCGCGTCGGCTGCCCCCCCGCGAGCTGCCCCCATCCATGGGCTGCCCGCGTCGGATGCTCTCATAAGCTGCCCGGATTGGCTGCCCTCATTGGCTGCGCTCTTATCGTTCGTTCCCATGGGGCGAAAACAAAAACAACAAAAAAAACGGAGCGAAGTGCACGCGCGCGCGTCGTCGCGCGCGCATGCCGAAATCCTTCAAAAACCTTCGGTGTCCGAGGGATTTCGCAATCGAGTTTCCAAGAAACCATACAAACACACATGGTTTCGCAACGCTGGACTGGTCGCGCCCGCGGACTGGTCGCGGGAAAAAATGTCGCGCGCGCGTCTGGGCGCCGGGGCATTGATAGAGGCCCGCGGGCATCGGGCGGCGCCGCGCCAGGTTGGGAGCGCGCCACGTCGCGCGTCATCTGTTTTGCGTTTCTGGCGGGTGCTCGCGCGGCGCGGAGTTCTCGCCGCCGCGGCGACGCTCGCCCACCCCCCGCGCCCAAGATATTATTCTGATGCATGCGACTTGCTGGCGGCCCCGCATCCGACGACTTTGGCGCGCGAGAGGTATCGGCCGCGTCCGCCGCCGCCCCGCCGCCCCGCGACGCCGTCGCGCGGGCGCTGGGATGACCGCCCTCCGCGCTGCGGAGAGCTCGCCCACTTCGTTGTGTCATTACCGTGCTGAGCGACGCCGCGCGCCTCGCCATGGAGCTTCGAAGAGCAGCGCTTCTTGTTGCCGCGGTGCTCTGGGGTGGCGCGGGGGCGGTCGGCGCTGGCAGGCTTCGCCCCTGCGCCGGCGAGGGCATTGCCCCCCCTGCGCGCGGGGCGCGGCGCGCGCAGGGCGGGGGCGCCTGCCGTGGGCGACCTGGGCGGCACGGTGCACGTGCATTTAGAAGAGGGAACGGAGGCGCGTCGCGCATGCATGGCAGCGCGAATGGCGCGCTTCCAGGGGCGGCGGACCCGGTCGACGCATGGGGAGCACAGGGGGATAATCTAGCGGAAAGACGGAGGCGCTCCCGCGCAAATTCGGGCAGCGCAGCTCTGCCCCCCCCATCGCCAATCGCGCGAGGATTGCCGAGCTCGATTACAAGAGCGCCCGCGCGAGGTCTGCAATTGAAGCGTCATTTGCCGCCGTAGAGGCAACCGCGCAGCGCCAGAGCTGCTCGGCGAAGCGATTTGAGCGCTCTGTCCAGGCCCGGCTCCGGGGCGACCCGCGGCAATGAGCGCGCGGCGCGCGCGGCGGGCCACGAACTCGCGCTGCAATATTCGCCCCGCTCGCAGGGCGAATGCGCGCGTGTATGAGGAGGCTCGAGTGCGAGAGGGTCTGCGCACAGGTGAGTCTCAGCGCGAGTGGAGCTGCTGACTGCATGCTGGTCTGGGGGCATGCTCCATAAGTGCGAGCGGGCATGGGCCGAGCGGGGCTTCCGAACGCGTTTTTGCGCATCGAATATGCGAGCTTTCCAAAGGGCTTCGCCGCTTCCTTCCGGGCGCCCTCCTCTCGCGGGCCGCGCGCCCGCCCGCTCCCCCGACGACAGGCGGCGTTCCTGCCTCTTCCGCTCCCCGCTCCGACAGTTGTCGACCGTCTGCAGCGCCCCGCCCTCCGCGCCATCGGAGACCGCGGGAGGGGGGCGCAGAGGCGGGCGAGGATTGCCACCGGGGGTTGTCGGAGTGGGGGGGAGCGCGGCGCGCTTCGGTCGGCGCCCTCCGCCGACGGCGCAGCCCTGGGCCTTTCCGCGCCCCCGCGCACTATCTCTCGCGATCCCCCTTCTTCGGGCAATTGCCGGGCGAGGGGGCGAGAGGTCGTCGGCGATTGGAAGGGGGGCAGTCGGAGAAGGCGCTGGGCTTGCCGGACATTGTTGGGGGGGGTCATCGCCCCCGATCGGGCTTCAGCAACCTGGGCCCTCCCCCCGCGCATTATATATATATACATATGCGCCGACAGTGCGACCGCCGTTATCAATCGTCGCTTCCGCTCGCCCGCGCGAGCGGCGCAGGCTGCTCGCGACAGTTAGCGGGGCGGGGGCGGCCGCGGGGCGCCCGGGCGAAACGCGGGAATCACATCGAGATATTCGCCGCCGAGCAGCGTCTTGGGCGTTTCGAGGAGGGGCGGGCGCGCGTGCGAGGAGCAGGGGGGTGTCCTACCCGCGCGTGCTTCCCGCCCACCATTCGTCGCCGCGGCGGCGCTGCCCCCCCGCTCCCTGGCGATCGCGGCTGATTTTCTGGATGGAGACAAAGGGGCACGACCCGCGCGCCCGCGCCTGGCTCGGCCCCGCGCCGAGCTGGCGAGGCGCGGAAGTCAGCGACGGATCCCGCGAGTTCACGCACGCGCGCGCGCGTTTCCGGGAAGAGCAACCAGGGCGCCCCCGGAGATTCGTCGCCGCCAGCGTCGCGGCGCGGCCGGTCGCTTTCTATCAGTTCGCTCGCCGTGGCACGGCGGGCGCGCCTGCGGGCGCGCGGAGAGCAGCGCGCGCGCGGAGAAGCCGCGAGCATTCTGACTTGTCGGGCGCGTGATTAGCGACGGCCGCGGACATGATCGGGCGGCTGTTAACTGTCGCGTGCCTGCTGACCCTCGCCCTCGGCCTCCGCCAGGGGAGCGCTCGGCACGCCCGTCGCGCGGCGCAGGGCCGCAGCGCGAGGGGCGCGCTCGGGGCCGTCGCGCGACCGCGATGGCGCGCGAGGCCTCGCGCAGGAGGGCAGGCGACAGGGGGGCGTCGTCGGTGCGGAACCAGCCAGCGAATTCCAGGATCGCTTTTTGCTTCGCTGGCGCATGCGACGCGCTGCCAGCGCGCCGTGCCGAAGCGAGCGACCCAATCGCAGATGATTTGGCGCGGGCCCTTACTTTCCTCGCGCGTCGCTCCGCGCGACGTTTGGGCCTGGGCGCAGGTTTAATTTGCGCAAATCTGCGCGCGGGCTTGCTGCGTCGCCGCGGCGCCAGGGCCCTCGCCGCGCGACGGGGCCGCCGCGCGGGCGTTTCTCCGCCAGGGCGACCGCGCTGCTCGCCAGCGGGCGCGCGGACACTGTTGACGAGTGCGGGCAGTAGCTGGGTCGCGGGCGACGATGCCAGCGACAGGCCGCAGCTCGCGAATCCAATTGCAGGGGCTCGCGGCCCCCCGCGAGGCGCGCCGACCCGTCGCCCTGGGGCGAGCTTGCACGGGCGAGCCAAGCAAACCGCGGCGCTTGCGATGGGCGAGCGAAGCCGAACACTGCAAATCCACAGCGCGGAGGCATGTTCCTGCGCGGCGGTGGCTTGATCTTCTGTCTCTGGTCAACGTCAGCGCATATCGCTAGTGTGCAATATTGCCATTGCCCTGTTGCTACCGCGTATGATTGTGTTCGCGCTCGGGCGCGCGCTTTGCTCGAACTTAATGCTGGCATGTCGCATGATCGCGGGCGTTCGGAATAGCATTGCACGTGTCCCAGGGCAGGTGGGCCACGCGCGCGGCGCGCCCAGAGCAAGCGCAGCTCTGCCGACGCACGTGGAAGCACGCATTTGGGAACATGTCGACCCCGTGCCATCCTTGGCACAAACAAATGCGTTCAGTCGGCATCATCATCATCATCATCATCATCATCATCATCATCATGTGTACTCATCATGTACTCATTCATCCGAAGCCGTTTTGGGTCAAGGTGTCGGTCTCGCTTTTCTCCCGCATCCCAGGATGCCCCGGCGGTGCTCGTGCTCTTGTTTCCGACAGCCTCGGTACTGGGTCGGTCTGTGGTGGACCGCGCAGCAGCTGCGCGACTTTGTGTGCTCATCTGCCGACGAAGGCGGCGACGAGGAGGTTCAGGAGGTTTCCTCCGACGACTGCGAGGAGGTCGAGGAGGGTTCTCCGTTTCGTACGCCGCCTCCTCTTGGAAGCCCACCCAGCACCGCAGCCAGCTCTTCTGCCCCTGCTGCCAGCGCTTCTTCCGCTCCGGCCAGCTCTCCCGCCGACGCGGGAGGCGATCGCACCGACGACGGCGGCGACGACAGCAGCAGCGCGACGACGGCGACGACGACGACGGGGACGACGGCGACGACGACGACGACGACGACGACGGCGACGACGACGACGACGACGCCCCCCCCCTTCCCTGTCAGGCGCCCTGGGGCGGCCGAGGAAAAAACGTCGCCGCTGGGCCTCCGGAGCGCTGCAGGCGCCCGCTGCTTCGCCTGCTCCGCCGCTGCCGCAGGCAGCTCCTCCGGCACCGCCCACGGAGGCCGCTGCGCCCGCCAGCTCAGCCACCCCCCCGCCGCAGGCAGCTCCTCCGGCACAGCCGCAGGCAGCTCCTCCGGCACCGCCCGCTGGGACCGGTGCGCCGCCGCCACCTCAGCCACCGCGCCGCCGCAGGGCCGCGCCGAAGACTGGGCCGAGACCTACTCGAAGGGGCCGGTCCCCCTGCTGCTGCTGCTCCTCCTCATCCTTTCCTCTCCTTCCTCCCTTCCCTTTCCTTTCCTTCCTCTCCTTCCTCTCCTCCCTCTCCTCCCCCCCCTTCCTCCCCTCCTCTTTCTCCTTTCCTTCCTCTCCTTCCTCCCTTCCTCCCTCTCCTTCCCCTCCTCCCTCTCCTTTCCTCTCTCTCCTTCCTCCCCTTCCACTTCTTCGCCCCCCGTCGGGTGCCCGCTCTGCCAGGGGGCGCTGCGGCCCGTGGTCACGCGCGAGGGGCGGTCGTTCCTCGGCTGCGGGGGCTTCCCGCGCTGTCAGCACCGGCGCGCGCCCGAGCCCCGCGAACGCGAGAACTTCCCTGAGCGCGTGTTCCTCGAGTGGCTGGGTAGGCCTGCTTCCTGTTTCTCCTCTGCGTGATCCGCCGTTGCCTGCTGTGCCCCCTTCGTTTTTCCAATCCCTCCTTCGTCTGGTTCCCCGTGGGCGCTGGCCGGAGGACGGGGGTCGGAAATGCGGAAGGGGGCGCGGCAGGCAACAGCGAATCCCTCAGTGCACCGCGCCACTTCGAGCGGCACGTCTGGTTCCGAACGCTTCAGCGGCCTGCGGCGGGGGCGCGGGTGCAGCTTTCGACATTCCTCCCTTGTCCTCCCTCTCACCCCCTGCCCCAGCCCCCTCTGGCGCTCTTGTCCTCTGAGTCCATATCCGGCCGCAGCCGTTTTGGCCCAAACGCGCGCCTCTGCTGCCCCTCTCCGCAGGGATGGGCAAGGGCTCGTCCTCCTCCTCCTCCTCCTTAGCGGCCGCTCGGCGATGGAATCAGAGTCGGAAGGGCCGCCCGGCGCGGGCGATGGTAGCGAAACGTGGTCCTCTGCACCGGAGGCCCACGAAGGAGACCTGCAAGTCCGCCGCGAAGCAGGCCTCCGCCAACTCTGTCGTGAAGAAGGGCTCCGCCAAGTCCGCCAGAAAGCAAGGCTCCACGCAGTCCGTCTCGAAGCAGGCCTCCGCCAAGGCGGCCCCGTACACGCCGAAGCACCAGCAGCCGCAGGGACCGCAGAAGTGGACCCGAGACGTCCTATCGAACAACCCTGAGACCACGGTGGGCGACTTGGCCGGCATGGGCGAGAAGGGCTTGATCCTTCACTTGCTCAAGCACGGCTTCTTGGACAAACCTCTCTGCTGCCCTTTCTGCAAGGTTGGCGGCGTCACCGACTTGCAGAAGTACCGCGGCAAGTACCAGTGCAGATGCACGCGGGCCCAGTGCAAGAGATTCATACTTCCCCAGGCGGAGTCGATTCTTTTCAAGTCGCAGACAGAGTTGCGCTTCCAGGCCGTCGCCCTCATGCTGGCCGTGCGGGGCGTGGCCATCTCTCTCGCCCCCCTCTTCTGCACGGGCCTCACGAGCCAGATTGCGCAACCAATGTGCCAGAGCTGGTGCAGAGCTATCCAGGCATACGTCAGCGATAAGCAGGCCGAGATCCACGTCGAGGGGAAGCCGTCGGCCCTCGCCGAGCACGAAGCCGACGAAGGAGCTTTCGGACTGGACAAGGGCGGAGACGGCACCCCCGGAGGAGGCGCGGTTCGTGGAATACCTGGGCGCGAAGAAAAGGCACCCTTCTCTGCTCCAACTCCATCTTCCCTCGTCTCCCTTCCCTGCTCCTCTCCACGCCCCCTCGCCCACCCTCTTCTTCCCACCTTTCTCCCTGGCGACAGGAAGAGCTTGCACATCACTCGCCGTGGCCCGAAGGAGTGCACCATCGCCCGCCAGTCGAATGGACGGTGCTCCCCGAGGCAGCTGACGTCGAAGGAATGGGCCGCTCCCCGTGATCGTCCGGGCGCTTCTGGCAAACCACTCGTGGGCAAGCACGTCCTCCAGCACGCGGACGGTGCTCCCGCGCACGGTGCTGCGCGGAAGGGGGCCAAGGTGCCTCGGGACACAGTGACGCACGCTTCTGTGAAGGGGGGGCCTTTTTTTCAGACGTCTGGCTGCCGCCGCCCCGCCTGCCTCCACCCTCCGCGACGACGGCGACGACGACGACGACGACGAACACGCAGACGACGACGACGACGACGACGACGACGACGACGGCGGCGGCGACGGCGACGGCGACGGCGACGGCGAGGGCGTCGACAGCGTCGACGGCACCTCCCTCCCCTGATCTTCCCCACCTCCGTCTGGGGAGAGGCGGTCCAAAGCTTGCTCCCACAAAGCTGGGGCCAAGACCGTGCGCGCGCCGGCCGGCACTCAATCCCTCGATTCCACGTGGGGACGCGCCAAGGCGTGCGCGTGGCGTCCAGAGAACGAATGCTCAGGCGCGTGACTCTAGGGTTGCTGACTACCAGCGGCGCCACTGGCGCATGGGAGACGACCTGTGGAAGGCCGCGGGGCAGGCCATCCGCTACCTGAACACGCCGGAGTAAAACCAGTCCGTGCACAAGTCAGCCTCGTCGCCGTCGTCGTCGCGGCTGTCGTCCCCGTCGTCCTCCTCGTCGCCCTCGTTGGTTTTTGTCATCTTGCACGCAATTCTTGGATGCGTTCTTCGCGACATACTTCGACGACGCCTGCGGCGACTGACCGCCAGCCCCCGTCTTTTTGGAAACGCCTCTGTGGTCTACCGTTCCAGCGTGCTTCGGCCAAACTATCGGACTACGTGTTCCACCCGATACTCAACAGGCTCCCCCCCAAGCTGAACTTGAACATATCCTTCTACTCCACAGCCTCCGTCCACTCCACCCCTTCCGTATACTCCACTCCACCCGTCTCCAACGCACCCTCCCGATACTGAACAGGCCCCTCCCAAGCTGAACTTGAAAATACCCTTCTACTCCACAGCCTCCGTCCACGCCACACCTTTCGTATACTCCACTCCACCCGTCTCCAACACACCCTCCCGGTACTCAACGGGCTCCCCCCCCGAGCTGAACTTGAAAATATCGTTCTACTCCACAGCCTCCGCCCACTCCACACCTTCCGTGCACTCCACTCCACCCGCCGTCTCCAACACCCCCCTCCGATACTCAACAGGCCCCCTCCCCAAGCTGAACTTGAACATATCCTTCTACTCCGCAGCCTCCGTCCACTCCACACCTTCCGTATACTCCACTCCACCCGTCTCCGACACACCCCCCCGATTCTCAACAGGCTCCCTCCCCAAGCTGAACTTGAAAATATCCTTCTACTCCACAGCCTCCGTCCACTCCACACCTTCCGTATACTCCACTCCGCCCGTCTCCAACACGCCCTCCCGATACTCAACGGGCCCCCTCCCCAAGCTGAACTTGTAAATATCCTTCTACTCCACAGCCTCCGTCCACTCCACACCTTCCGCATACTCCACTCCACCCGTCTCCAACACACCCCCCCGATACTCAGCAGGCTCCCTCCCCAAGCTGAGCTTGAATATATCCTTCTACTCCACACCTTCCGTATACTCCACTCCACCCGTCTCCAACACACCCTCCCGATACTCAACAGGCTCTCTCCCCAAGCTGAACTTGAACATATCCTTCTACTCGGCACCCTCCGTCCGCAGCAGCCGCATTGCGCGGAGGCATTCCGTGAGCACCTCGTCACGGGGTCTCGCGATTGGCCAGCCTGTGCAGCGCTCGCCGACTGTGGGGAGGCTGCCGCTGCCGCTGCAGCGTCTATCGCACCGCGCACCTGGAAGCCGCCAGACGCAGACGAGGCCCTGTCGCCCGCGGGCGACTTCGACCATCGATCCTCGATCCACCTGCCCTACCACTGCTGCTGATGCTGCTGCTTCTCCCCCCCCCTCCTCCTCTCCCCCCACCCATCCTTGCTCTTCGCGCCCCCCCGGCCCCCTTCCCCCCCCCTCCTCCCCCACTCCTCTCTCCCTCCTCGCCTTCCTACCCCTCCCCCCATGGCTGGCTGCAGCAGGGGGGAGGGGAGGGGGGCTTCCCATCAGTTTCGAGATCGGCAGGGCAGTTCCGTTCGCGGAATTGGGCGCCCTGGCCCGGGCGGCCGAACGACCCCTGCAGCGGGGCGCCCTGGCCACGCAATCGCCGCCGCAAAAACTGCTTGTTAACGCTGTCGGCGCGCAAATGCGGCGCCGAACAGCACGCGCAGCGCGCGCGCCAAAGCGCCCCCGTGGCGCCGCCAGAGATGCAGCGGCGGCCGAGACAGCAAGGTCGGGCAGCGCGCGTCATCCCGCCGACGACGATGGTGAATCCGGCGACGACGACCCCGGCGAGTTCGATTCGGACTCCTCCGTCGTTCCTCCTCCTTCGATCGGAGATCGAGGATAGAGGGGGGGGATCGCAGACTGGGGGTTGGTCGAGGGTAAAGGAGGCCGAGGACCGAAGGGCCCTCGAGGGTCGATCGGCATTAAAAACAGAGGGATCGAGGGAGGATTGGATCGGGCAGGATCAAGAGTGGAGGATCGAGGATCGAGGGGGGTCGTCCCCCCCTGATATCCCGGTGAATTATCGGTCCTCCTTCTTCCTTCTTCTCGTCTTGGCGCTCGTCTCGGTTCCTCCTTCTTTTTCCTTAATGATCGCGCTTCTTTTGCCCCAGCTCTTGGTCCTCCTTCTTTCCCCTCGCCCTCGTCTTGCCCTCCTCTTCTTTTCTCCAGCCTGCCCCTGTCGACAGGCTGTTTCCGATCGGCTGACCTCATAGGGCACCCGGCCGCGCGCTGCCCCCATTGCTCGCGCCCAAGAGCTGCCCCCATAGCCTGCTCCAGCAAGTCGCCCTCGCCGCCCCCCTCCCTCCCCCGCGCGCGCAAGCTGCCCCCGTCCATGGGCAGCCCGCGCCGAGTGCTTGCATAAGCTGCCCTGCCTGGTTGCCCTCAGTGGCTGCGCTCTTATCGCGCGTTCTCATGGGCTGCGCCTTTCCGCGCGCTGCCCCCGCGCCCGGGCGCCCTCGTGAACTAGGCCTCCCAGCTCCATGGGCTGAACCCATAGGCTGCCCCCGCAGGCCGCGCCCTCAGGCTGCCCGCATACATATGTTGCACTTACCGGCGCCCCCGCCGGCTGCCCCGCAGGCTGCGCCCGTAGGCTGCTCCCATGTGCGGCTCCCATCCCAAGGCTGCTCCCTAAGACGGCCCCCATGGGCTGCCCCATGCATGAGCTGCACCGAGATGCTGGCCCCCCGTAGGCTGCCCCCATCCATGGGTTCATAGATTGCCCGCATCGGCCGCCCCTCAGGCCGCCCACACAGGGCGCCCCCATAGATTGCCCTCAGCATCGCCATCATAACCATCATCAGCAATGCCATCCTCATCGTTTGCAAATCTGGGCATCTGGAAACGTCCACCCCAGCTGCTATTAATGTGCTTCGTTGGGCTACATGTGTTGCAATGCGCGCGCGTCTGCTTTTCGTGGTGCCGTTGTGCTCGAGAGCTTGTGTTTTGGGTCGT